AGCATCATTCACTGACTGCCAGCTTCCAGAGTTGCCCTTAAAAAATCTAATGACATTTTAATTCCTGATTCTTTTTTTAAAAAAATATATTTTATTGATATTTTTACAGAGAGGAAGGGAGAGGGAGAGGGATAGCGTGTTAGAAACATCGATTCAGCTGCCTCCCGCACGTCCCCCACTGGGGATGTGCCCGCAACCCAGGCACATGCCCCTGACCGGAATCGAACCTGGGACCCTTGAGTCCGCAGGCCGACGCTCTATCCGCTGAGCCAAACCAGCCAGGGCTAATTCCTGATTCTTTAAAAAAAATTTTCTAGGGGAAATTCTTCAACTTTAATTTTCAACTTTCTTTTGATTTTCTTCTATTATATTTATAACTTATAATTTCAAAGGATTTTTTCCTTTCTAGTTACTATTATTTGTTTACTAGAGTTCCGGTGCACAAATTTGTGCACCAGTAGGGTCCCTCGGCCTGGCCTGCGGGGTTGGGCCGAAACTGGCTCTCCGACATCCCCTGAGGGGTCCCAGATTGTGAGAGGGCACAGGCCAGGCTGAGGGAACCCACCAGTGCACGATTGGGGCTGGGTAGAGTGTAGAGGTTGGCCAGCTGGGGAGGGACCGAGGGAGGGCTCCAGGGTGTGTCCAGCCCATCTTGCTTAGTCTCAATCAACCAGATCCCAGCAGCAAGCTAACCTATCAGTCAGAGTGTCTGCCCTCTGGTGGTCAATGCACGTCATAATGAGCGGTTGAGTGGCCTTAGCATATCATTAGCATATTACACTTTGATTGGTTAAACAGATGACTGGATGCTTAGCATATTAGGCTTTTATTATATCGGATGGCAACCTGGTCTTAGTAGTTACATAATATTTTCTTTTCACTGAAGAAATTGTAGTTCCTACCCAGCTGGCATGGCTCAGTGGTTGAGTGTTGACTTATGAACCAGAAGGTCATGGTTCGATTCCCAGTCAGGGTACATGCCCAGGTTGTGGGCTCGATCCCCAGTGTGGGGCATGCAGGAGGCAGCCAATCAATGATTCTCTCTCATCATTGATGTTTCTTTCTCCCTCTCCCTTCCTCTCTGAAATCAATAAAGAATTGTAGTTCTTGTGTTATTCTATAAGTTCTTCTTTGTTGTTCTATAAGAGGGACTGAAAAATTGTGGTGGTCTTTAAAAGCTTAACATTCTTTTCACTGAGAATAGTATAATTATTGTTGCTCTATCGCTTGCATTATCTTCTACCTACTAAGCACTTTGGACTAGATTGGTATCTTTATCATTTTGGAGGCTTTCCTCTAATGCAGTGGTTCTCAACCTTCTGGCCCTTTAAATACAGTTCCTCATGTTGTGACCCAACCATAAAATTATTTTCGTTGCTATTTCATAACTATAATGTTGCTACTATTATGAATCGTCATGTAAATATCTGATATGCAGGATGGTCTTAGGTGACCCCTGTGAAAGGGTGGTTCGACCGCCAAAGGGATCTCGACCCACAGGTTGAGAACGGCTGCTCTAATGCCTGTGACCTTAAATGTCCTTATGTAGAGTGAAGCACTAGCAAGCTGATGGGCACCTGCACAGGTGGGTGGGATATGAACAGTGGGTTTCTGTAACACACCTCCTAAGGACTTTCAGTGTCTGTAGTTGGTCTACCTGGGGCTCGTTTCTCTGCAGACGAATCTTGGCCGCCATCTCTCAAGGAGGCCGGCCAAGCACCCTCACTTTTATGTGTAGGGTTTTCTTCACTACCTCTATTTTTAGCTCGATTCCTTGGCTTGGAGCAGTATCCTAGTCCAGAGAGCCCCTGGTTAAATTTCTGGTTTCTTACAGGGGTTAGAGACGGGATTTGGGGGTAAAATGACTGTTGTATACTTTCAACGAGTCCTCCTATTTTCTGCCTCCCTGCTCTTCTGTTGTTCAGGGGCCTGGGGCTGCCAGTCCCTGGGCCATTAGAGAATGAGTGGACCTGCTTCAGGCTCTGCCTCTCAACCAGCACTTTTTTTCTGTTTTCTGTGATCTGCTGTCAATGATATGTTACCCATCAGCTTTCCAGAGTCCAGAATTTTGCTGATATCTCTTGTTGACTGTGTTCTCTTCTACTTTTGTGTTTATCCATATGATTTGTGCCTTTTTAGTATGTTCCTACAATTTAATGAGGCTTCAGAAGGAAGGAGAGGTAAAAGTATATGTTCCATCGGCCACGTTAGCCAAAAGTGTGGAATCTTCCTCCCCAGGCACCCAGTTCAGTACCTGGCACATGTTGGTGTTCCGTAAATATGTGGGTCTGATTCAACTGACACGGTGGATTTCAACAGAAGTAATGACCACCTAAGTTTTTTACTTTTGTTTTTGCTCCTGAGGAATTAAAAATTACCAAATATAGGAATAAGAATAGTAGGTTATTAACCCCTGGGAGAGAAATACGATGTCACTGGGGGGTTCTCTGTGTAAAGCCTTCCTCTTAGGACACGTGGTGGATTCCTCTTGAATCTGTTACTAGTGATGGGCCTTCCAGGTGCTGGGGCTGGATGGATCCCGGAATCACCAGGTTGAGGCTCAGGGTCTCCCAGTCTCCCCCACATCACAGGTACGAGAAACCTGAGATGGACCCGTGGGGACCCCGCATCAGGCTCTGTGGTCCTCTGTTCTAGGACGGCAGTTGGCCCAGTGCCCTTCCTAAAGAGCCTGGCTAGCAGAACACAGGTGCTCTGCAGCTCACAGTTCTGAGTTCTGTTCTGCCCATCTTATTAAAAAAATAAAAATAAAGAAGATAGAAACATCAAAATTCCAAGCCAGTATTTAGAGTATGTGGTTGTCACCTTGATGCCTGAGTTCTGAGCCTCCAACCAGTACCCGGCATTTATTCATTCAGCCAGTGTTTGCTGAGCTCCTATTATGTGCCATCCACACACTGGGGTACAGTGGGGAGCAAGACAGACATGGCCACTGTCCAGAACTCGTTCTAGAGGAGAGAGGCTGATGAGGAAAAAGGAAAGGAACGAAGAGGGACTTTCACTGACAAGTGCTGGGGGGGTGAAGATAAAAGGGGTGGGAAGGGGCTGAGTGGGGGTGGGTGGCAGGGCCCATGCAAAGGCCCTGGGAGGGAAGTGATTAGGAGTGGCAGGGAACCCCTGGCTGGGGTAGAGGGTGGAGGCGGAAGGGGGTCAGAGGAGGGTCTGTCTGGAAGCTTAGAAGGTTATTCCTTGAGTGTGAAGGCAGGTAATTGACTCCGTCCTCACTTCCACCTGGTCCTAATGGGTCATGTGTGTTCTAGGAACCGGCTCTCAGTCACTAAGGTCACCAGGTGGCCCCTGCTGCCCAGGGCCCGCCCTGGAGGTGGGTAGGCCCCTCCCCGCAGGGCTGCACTAGTGGCCCTGAGGTGGCCCGGACTCGGTCCCTGTGGGAAGCTGCTGCCCCGCCCCTGCACTCCGTCCTGTCTGAGTCACCCACCCCAGGAGACCAGGGCGCAGTGGCAGGGTCCCCGTCACGCCACCGCCAGCCGCTCTGGGCACCGCTGGGAGATTAAACACATTCGCTTAGAAAAAGCAAAGAAATAACTTCTTTTGATAACCAGCATCTGTTAGTTAATGGGCCTCTGAGAGCTGTATACAATTTAAACTTTTTATTAAAAAGAAAAAAAAAAGCTCATTTACTCTCCTGGGAGCTTACGCTGTGAAATTATCAGCTGCTCGGCTTTTTCCTTTTAAACGTGACTGAACATACAATGGAGAACATTAATTTTGTTTTGTTTTGTTCTGAACGAGAACTGTGGGTTTTACTTTCCTCTCGTTTGATTAAAGTCATCTCGGCTTGTATGTGGGGGAGCCAGACTCACAGTGGGGAGCCAAGAGGGGCCCCTGAGCCCCCAAACCCACCCTCCTTATTTTAGCCCTGAGCCTGGAGTGGCCGCAGGCCTTTCTCCAGCTGTGATGTTTTCTACCGGCACCAAGGGCTTCGGAACCAAGAAGCCCCGGAGGGGAGGGGGCCTGGGTCCAGGTGGCGGGGCCGGGACCTTCTCTTCCTCAGCACAGCCTCCTAATTAGGTGGCTCACGCCACGTCCCACAAAGCAGCCCTGAATCACTCCCCCCAAATACGGTCAAGGAATCCCACCCCTGTCAAGGGACCGGAGCCCCCAATGCCAGCCCGGAGGAGGCCCAGCTGCTTTGGCCTCGGCCAGCCCCTTCCTCCCTGAGCCTGACCGGGCAGGAAGCCGTCACCCCTCACCCACACTGTCGGGCCGCCGGCCAGGGAGGCTGTCCCTGTGGCGGCAGTGACCTCACAGGTTTCGGTGTGAGGATTAACTGGCATCACTGGGCCGTGCGTACTGAGCTTCCACCGAGCGCCAGGCACTGCCGGCCCTGCTCGGAAAGGTCGCGGTGCCTCAGTCCTTCCCTTTTACATTGGCGGCCGAGGACCCAGAGTCAGGAAGCATGACCCAAAGCAGAAGGGTGATGGGATGGGTAGAAGACGGAGGGAAGGAGGCCGCTCTCTGAGGATGCTGGTGGCGGGTGTCATGAGGAAGGACGTGGTCTCAGGCTTGAAGGCAAAGAAAGAGCCAAGCTTAGAAGGATCTGGGGGAAGAGGTGTTGGCAGAGAAATAACGTGCAGAGGCCCCGAGGCGGGGAACAGCTTGCTGTGATCAAGAGGAAGAAGGAACACAGGTGCAACCTGGGTGGGGGAGGCAGGTGGGGCCTCGCAGACATCGGTGAGCAAGAAGTTGGGGTTTCTTCCGAGTGTCCTGGAAGCCCTGGAGCTTTAACCAGGGCTGGCCATAGCGCGGCCTCGAGGTGCATAACAGCCATCCAGCGATGGCCACCCCCGGTCTCATCCTCTTTCTGGAAGACACTGCATTTCTCTAGGATCATAGCCCCCTTGGTTGACTTTAATAACTGGTGAGAGCATTTTTCAGACTGTTTAATTTTATTAAAAGATTCAAATTTGATGATAAATGATGGCATGGTTGCCTCAAGCCTTAGACACAGACTCGCTCAGCTGTGGACACATTATCGCCACCCACCCTCCTCCCACCAGGGACCCCTCCACCCGATGCAGTCTGAGGCCACAATCATTCTTTCTTGTGCTTTAGTAAATATGCCAGGAACACTCGTCACTCTCTGAGACCCACAGACAATATGAACTTGGTGGTGTGTGGGGTTTTTTTTTAAGAAGAATGGGTAGATAAGTTAGAGCAATTTCAGCGGGCTGATTGAACCCCACACAATCTAACGGAAGGACAAGGGCTTCCTTCTGAAAGCATCATTAGCCTCACAGACAATTGTTGTTCGAGATCCGTGACAAGAGCCAGAGATAGGAATCGGGCGGAGGAAGGAGGGGGTGCTTCGTCGGCACCGAGTCCCGGAAACCCTTGCGCCCACCAGGATGCCAGTTAATTTCACAATGTACAGACGTGGCCCTGGGCACACAGGCAGGCCTGGAGAGGCACAGCCTGTCCCCACCGTGGCGACAGCCTCCCGAGCAGAGGAGGACACGGGCGCAGGAGCATCTATCTCCTCCGTGTCTCCTCGCAGCGCTCCCTGCCCGCTCCCTGGGGTGGTCCCAGAGACACATTCGGGATTGTTTTCTCCCTCCTTGTCCGCGAGGCACAGGGAATCTTGAAAACAGAGAACACCTGTGCAGGGCTAATTACAGAGCGCGTGGTAATGCCGATATCATTAGTATTAATTACTTTCCCAAGGCTGGGAACACCGCTTTCCTCCCAGGACCTGTTCCCGGCGCCAGCCCAGCGTGGTGGGGGCAAGGGCCACCGCATTCCGGGGCTCAGCTGGAACACGCGCGTGCGCCGGAGGCGGCATTTACCCCCACGCGTGGACCGCTGGCGGCCTGCCTGGCGGAGCACGGGCAGGTGCACACAGACGCCCCCAGTCGGGATTCGGGGAAGCTGAGTTTCCCCCAAGAGACAAGCCTTCTGCCGGAGAGCTGAGAACCGAGAGCCTGAGCGGCATGTGTAATCACGTCTGAGTGTGTATTGCTAAATTCGAATTAGTGATCTTTAAGGAACCTCCCTCCCCCCCATTGCACAGAATCCCAAGGGTACAGGAAATAAGGGGGCCTCTGAGGTCCAGTCCCTGGTGCAGGTCCCCGAACTGCCCACGGAAGGTGGGAGCCAGTGTTCAAAACTCAAAGCAATGGACATGGCCGCGAGGCCCGGGCTCGTGGTCACAGTTGCTAACCGACCGCAGTATGCACTCCGCAGGGGCTGAGCCACCAAGACACAGGCTGAGCTGACAGTGGCAGGGCCACCACCTGTCTGTGACGGAGAACAGGGAAGGAGTGGCCTTCCTCACAGACAGGTGTGGGGTCTGCGCCAGGCTGGAGTCCCCGGGGTCAGCCGGTCCCAATCTCATAGCCACTGGAGGAAGGCCAGCCCAAGAATTAGGAGCAGAAAGGGGAGAGGGGCCACTGGAGGACAGCACCTCCCACTGTTGAGGAGCTTCTGCAGCAGAGGCCCGTGCTGGGGGGGCTGGGAGAAGTCCTGGGCCGCCCCGTTACAGAGCACCAGGGGCGCTTGGTAAGACGTGGGGCGCTTCTCGGGGGTGTCCGGACTCGAGCCATCAGTGGGCCTTTGTCCGATGAAGAGCAGGCTTTGCCCGAGGGGGTCTTGCTCCACCTTGAAAAGCTCATATTCCACGTGGGGGAGCCTGATGCCCAGGGGCAGGCACCCATTGGTGGCTGTGACATCCCGTTCCCTTCCCAGGGACCAGGCCCCGGGGCCCCCGCAGCTGCTCGGCTCTGAGACGTTGAGCACGGCCGTGGTGACCTGGTCCATGGGGGTCACACGAGCCTCTGTGACCTGGAACACCAGCTCGGTGCCACCGAGGACCTTGGTGGATGGCGTGCCCCTGGTGTAGCGGCCGGCTGCGTAGACAGTGAAGGTGGGCTGCTGGCAGGCGGGGTCCGAGAAGTGATGGTAGTACCCTTCCCAGGAGCGGTTGTGCCCATGGAAGGTGAAGAGCCTGGTGAGGAAGAGCACGGCGGGGCGCACCTCGCACCCGGCGCTGACCCACTGGCCGCCCAGGTGCAGGGGCAGGGCCACGGGGGCAGGCAGCACGGGAGGATGGTGCTCGTCGGAGCGGGCGATGAGGCTGCAGGCGGGGCAGGGGTGAGCGTGGTGCTGAAAGAGACACACAAAGGGCAGTGACTGTCTCAGCTGGAGAAGTCGGGGTGCACTCTGGGATGGGGTGCCATGGGGCCTACCCAGTGGTCACCCATCACTCTCCACTCCCAGCCTCCAGCTCAATGGCTACTTAGCTCTTCTTAGACCCTCTGGGCCTTTGCACCTGCTGTTCCTTCTACCTGGGATCCCCCAGAGCAGGGGTCCTCAAACTATGGCCCGCGGGCCACATGCGGCCCACCGAAAACATTTATCCGGCCCGCCGGGTGTTTTTGCCGCCGCTGTGTGCATAGGAATTTGTTCATAGTTTTTTTTTAAACTGTAGTCCGGCCCTCCAACGGTCTGAGCGATAGTGAACTGACCCCCTGTTTAAAAAGTTTGAGGACCCCTGCCCCAGAGCATAGTTTGATCGGCTCCTCGTCCTCTAGGACTCAGATCAAAGAGCGGCCTTAGGGAGACCTTTCCTGACCACCATGCCCGGGCATCCTCGGGGCCTTTCTAGTGCTCAGAGACCTGTCATTCCCCCCCTCCCCTTCTTTCCACCCTCCCCTTCATTAGATCGTAAGCTCCAGAAAGCCGGGACTGTCTCTGCGCTGCTCTGTCCCCAGGGCCTGGCACAGTGCCTGGTCACAGCAGGAACGAAGTTGCTGAGTGATGAAGGAATGGATGGATGATTGAGTGGATGAGAAATGGAATGGAGGTGCCCTCTGTCCTGGGATTTGACAGAAGTTGTTCTTTCCCACCCCCAGCCTGCTTGGTCCTAAAATTCGGCCGTTAAGGTTTATTGTGGTTTCCTTTCCAAGGAGACGCTCTCTACCCTTTCATGCTTCTGGGTGCCCCTGAGGGCCAGGAACTGTGCTAAGCATGTCTCATGCAACGGTTACATGTTAGAGTAGCAGAAGCTGAAACCCAGTGGACCAGGCGGCCAGCCAAGGGTGTGGCAGATGCGTTGAACCCTGTCTGTCGGACCCCACCCCCTTTCTATGCAGAAAGCCTCATGCCCCTCCCAGGAGCCTGGTCTCCATTACCGGGTGCAGAAGAGAGACTGTATCTCCAGAAATTTCACCTTGGAAGGTGAGCATCCTTCCTTCCACATCCCTGGAAAGTGGACACGGCACCAAGGATGGGAATACTCCCCCTGCCGCAGAGCCCATCGCATGGAGCCCGTGCTGAGGAGATGGCTGGGACATTGCAAAGACGCAGAACACAGCGACGGCCACTGGGGTGTCATTTACAGGAGGGACAACCGGCCACCCCCGTGGATCCGGTTCTCTGCGGCCTGGGCTATGCGTTTCCTCTCTCGTTGGCCTTATTTACAGTTTCCCTGCCTCACGGAGCCTCGGGAGCGGGGTTTACAGGGAACACGCCAACGACAGCCAGATGCTGAACCGAACTGCGAGGGAGTAGTCAGCCTCTGCTGCCCAGAGCTTAGTCCCGCGCAGCGTTCTGAAAGGTGAACCTCCTTGCACAGCCGCGCGTCGGCAGGGCTGGCGTGGGACTAGCACACCTGCGTTTGCAAAGTGGGCCAGGGCCAGGGCTTCCGGGGACCCAGCTGGGAAATCAGCTGCTTTTTTTTTCTTCTTCTTCTTCTTCTTGCAAAAACAAGAGATTTTCACAGATTGCTCCTGGGTGACTTTCATGCCAAACAAGTGGTGTCTGGGAGGGCTGGTTTAGAAAGAAAATATTGGATGATGGGAAGTATTTTTCTTCTTTTTGGATGACCACATTAAAAGCTTATTATTTATTTCTACGGTGAATCTAAACTTGCCTTGATTTCCATAATGTAGAGAAGTAATTGGTTTTGATTTGGGGGGTTTTGACCCAGAGTACTTGAAGGTGCTTTGAAATACTAGCAAATGATGGCAAAAATGTTTGTGATGGGTAGTTAGTGGAGGGAGGGCATTGCATGCAGCGGGTGAGAGCCCGCTCCAACGTTGGCCTTTCCCCCGCATCCCGGCTGTTGTCATGCTGGTATGTGTCCCCACAACATAAGGCATCACAGCAACATAATCCCAGGGCCGCCCTCTCTCCAGAACGGAGCTGCCTTTTGCAGACAGGACATTGGGGGTGCTGGCTGCTAATTGGGGGCAAGCGTTTTTCTGCGGAGCAGGAACCGGTGGAGAACCTGGCGCACTTCTCAGAGAAGGGGGAGAAAAGGCACGCCCTTCTCTGATGCTCTGGAAGGGGGTGAAGGAAGGGGCCGCCTGTCAGTCTCCCGGGCGTCGTTTGGCCGAGGCCCGGTTGCCTGTGTTCACAAACAAGCCTCCAGCCAGCAGAACGCGCGGACGCAGGAGCCAGGCTCCTCCTGCTTCAAGCCTGTTACATAAAGTTATTTCTCAAACAGCACATACCGCTTCTAATTAACCCCCAGAGGAGACACCAGGCTTGGATGCTTTTGGTTGAGTGCTGGCTGATTGATTAGGATTCTATATCCAGGCAATGAATTTGGGGATCAAATTGGTTTGAAATTAACTTCTAAAAATGTTCATGTTTACCATCTGGTTGGGTCTTGGGCAAGGCTTGGGCCCCAGAGAGCACAAGATCACGACTGATTCGTTACTTGGGGATATATATGCCGCATCTCCTTCTTTGAAATTATCTTCCTTTTTTTCCGGAGAGGGGCCATTTAATTTAATGTCCCTGCATCTGGCACCACTCATCCCTGCAAACGTCCCGGTGCTCTGCCTCTCAGTCACATTGCAGGTGGCACCGGCCTCACGGACTGGTCAGGCGGCAGAGGGCCGGAGGCTGTCCGGAGCCCGGCCTGGGAAGACACGAAAGTGTCATTCTTGGCACCAGGGGTCCGTCTTCTGCGTGCAGGGTTTCCCTAATGAGGTGGTGGGCTCCAGACATGACCCTGCCAGCACCTTCTCCTAGGTAGGAGTAATGCCAGACCGTCTAACAGTGGTTCTCAACCTTCCTAATGCCGCGACCCTTTAATACAGTTCCTCATGTTGTGGTGACCCCCAACCATAAAATTATTTTCGTTGCTACTTCATAACTGTAATTTTGCTACTGTTATGAATCATAATGTAAATATCTGATATGCAGGATGTATTTTCAGGGGTCACGACCGCCAGGTTGAGAACCGCTGGAACATCGGCTGCCAAAAAGGGAATACTTTTGAGGTTATGAAAGAACTGGGGCTGATTTTCTGATTATGAGAATGGTGCTTTTTTCTCTGCTCCCCAAATCCTGCCTTGGGAGAAGAGGGGTGGGCTCATTCCCAGGCCCTCACCTTGGGGTGCTCCCAGGGGTGAGAAGTTGCCCCACCTGTTTTCATTCCTTGAGTGTATAGTACGCAGTAGGCACTTAATACTTGCTGAATGATGTGACGGTTGCCTAAGGGCTCAAAGAGCACTTGACAGGGACAACTGACCTCATCCGTCCCTTCCTCCCTCCCTCCCTCCATCTACTTTTGAAGGACGTTCCTTGGGTGCCAAGTTCAGACATTCTCAACTTGGAGCCCTAACCTTGACTTCCTTTTTACTAACCTCTAACTCAGTGGTTTTCAACCAGTGTGCCGCGGCACCCTGGTGTGTCGACAGAATTTTTAAAACATGCAATACCTGACTATTTAGTCGTGGGTACTGACCTCTTTTTCCTTAGATTGTCAACAGCCAACACAACAATAGCTGTTAGGTGTGAATAAATCAAAATGATACCTATTTTTTTCTCAGATGAGTGAAAAATATCTTTTTTGGTGTGCTGCTGAATTTTAGCAATTAGTTTATGTGCTATGAGATGAGAAGATTGAAAATCACTGCTTTAATTGATAAAAGTTAACGTTTCTTCTCACTGTGAATGTGGACAACAAACTCCTACAGCTTCCAGAACCTCTGACACTGTTGCCGGTCTCATTTTAACATTAGTACGGATCCTGGAAACTATTTACGTTCATCACTACTTTGAAATTAAGGGAGAGTAAAGACTTCACGTGGCCCACAGACCAGGATGGGGAAGCATGAGGCCCTGGCAGGAGCAGGTCAGGTAGGGCTTGCTGGGCCACGGCTCTGAGCTTGCCCTCCCAGGGCCGACACTCACCAGGGCGCTCTGCAGCGGGCGCTGGTAGCCGGTGGGCCGGTAGTGCCACCTCTCTGCCCAGTTGGTGTGGATGTCCCCCAGGTACAGCTCCTCCACCAGCTGGGGCCCAGCCCGGGGCTGCGGCTGCAGGCGGCGCTGCACTCGGACCAGGCTGAGCTCGTGCATGGTGAAGCCCAGGGTGGCCGTGCAGTCCCGCTCGGCCCGGGCGCTCAGCAGCTCATACAGCGTCCCGGACACCCAGGCCTGGGCAGGGGGCAGCTGCTGGGCACAGTCACGGCTGGCCTGGGTCCGGTTGAGGCGCCTGGTGATGTCCAGCAGCGCGTGGCGGCTGTGGAAGACGATTCCCACCTTGTGCAAGTGGTAGTCGGCCTCGGTGGCACCACGGGTGACCCAGGAGGCCCGGCGTAGGCGGACCTTGCCCTTGATGACCAGGGAGTGGGCAGGCTCCTGGCAGAGGGGGTCCTTGTAGTAGAACTGGTGGGCTCGGAAGAGGCGGCTGGGGAAGAAGGTGTAGGAACGGGTGAGGAACTCGGGCCCAGGTCGCACCTCGCAGCTGTCGGGTGGGAGAGATGGGGTGGGCAGAGCAGTGAGAACCTGCACGTGAGCCCCTTTCTGGGTGGGTCCCACCCCCCCCACCCTAAACCCCCATTGCAGACCTCAGCTCAGGGCTGTTGGGCCTCTACAGCCTCAATTTCTCTGAGTGATCTTAGTAAGTCCCACTAGGGGGGCTGGGGCCCTCCACTCAATGCCTGTGGCTTTGGCCGAAGCCCGCTCGTCCCCTTCCATTCAATCCTATCACCTTCAGGTGACACCCTCCCTCGGGGCCCCCGTGGGTCCCGGGGCCCCAGGGAAGTGCACAGGCCTTGCCGCCGGGAGACCTGGTTTCACCCACTCTGTGCCTCACCGGGAATGTGAGCCAGGATGACGGCCCAGCTCCTGTGTCTGTGATGGGGAGGTCTCCATCACAGTCATGGCCTCTGGACATGTCCGCACAACGGTCACACCTGAGAGGTACTCCCCCTCAGGACCTCTGTGCTGGAGCTCCGGAGGCAGTGCCCTGCCTGTTCTCTCTGCGTTGGATTCCTGGCACCTGGCCCAGAGCCCGGGACCTAGGATCCTCCTTGGGTCCTGGCTGCCGGACCATGATGAGCGTGGATGTAGACGCTCAGATCCTGTCACACGCCGAGGTGGCCTCAGCCCGCTCCTCGCCCGTGCCTCAGACAAGGCCCGGCAGGGGACGGTTTGCCTAAGGGGTTGCATCAGGTCACACTGGACATCTCGGTCTCTGCACTAAGGCTGTCTGGGAAGTACAGAGGGGAGCTTTCGAGGAAGAAGGTTCTAGAAGTTTCTAGAAGCACTGTTCCAGAATGCAATTGGCCCCGGGGCAGGAGCAGCCAGCAGGCAGTCCCTACCCTTCCTGAGCCCCAGTTCTGTCTCAGAGTGACCCCGGCCAGTGGTGCCTGGGTCCCCCCGGACTGTGGAGTTGGGTGAGAGCCTGGGAATGCATCCAAAGGGGCTTTGCTGAGCTCCAGGCCCTCCCTCCACCCAGAGCGATAGCAGATGTTTGGCATCTCGCTTCTCTCTGACCTCAGAAGGTGCGTGGAGGACACGGAGAGTCCATCTAGTCCCTGATCCTAGAATGGGGCTGGCTGGAAGGGGCTGGCGGGAGAGGAAGTGATGTGCTAGGTGTGGAGGAGGCCACTGCCTCCCTTCTCCCCATCCCCACATTAAGAGGGAGGACCCCACAAATGAGGACAGAGCACGAAGCCCATTGCCCCAGAGAGCAACAGTGCCTGAACTGGCAGGCCAGCCTGCAAGGTTAGAGAGAGAATGAGACAGGCAAGCAAGACACCTGAGCCCTCTCTAACCCACCACTTCCTGCCTCAGGACCTTTGCACCAGCTGTTCCCTCTGCCTGCCTCTTCCCCTGGCTCTCTGGATGGCTGACTCCTCTTCTTTCAGCCTTCAATGGAATGTCACCACCTCCGAGAAGCCTTCCCTGACCACTCTCACAAAAACCCTCCCAGGTCACTCACTATTACATCCTTGTTTTATGTCCTTCATTGCAGAGCTTAGCACCACCTCGAGATTGTGTTACTTATTTCTGTATTCATGTGCTTAGAGCGTGTCCCCCTCTGTACTAGTTCATACTAGGCACTCAATAAGTATTTGTATAGTTGGTGTTTTGATTTTGTCCAGTTGCTGCTTGTGGCTGTGGCATGATGCCCAACACGGTGCCTGCCTTCCAGGCTCACGCTGTGGTGGTGGTGGTGGTGGTGGTGGTGGGTAAAGCTTTATGCCACAGGTAGAAGGCCTCTTAGACAATAGGACAGTTGTGCCTATTTTACAGATGTGGACACTGAGGCTCAGAGAGGAGAGTCTCCCAGCACAGGGGCCTAAGGTCAAGGTGACCTAGGGTCTTACCCAGTGGAGATCCAGGGACCCTCGAGGCGTGGAGGCAGCAGTGCAGTGACGGGCGCTCTGCTGGTCAGGGGCTGCTGGCAGCGAGGTTCCCAGCGCAGGAGGCCACCCCCTGCTTTCCCAGCTGCCTCTGCAATATGGGCTGCAAAGCAGACAGACCCAGGGTTAGGGTTCCAGCTCTGCCCAGGTGCCCCACCTGCCCCAGCTGCCCTCCCACCCCAACCTCCACCTCTGCCCCTCCTGGGGCATCCAGCCCCCCCGTAGGCCACCCCAGCCCCCGAGACAATGATGGGGTGCCTAGAATCAGCCTCCGGACTCGTCTCCTGGTTGTGACCACCGTGGAATCCAAGCCTCCTGCAGGGAGACTGTCCAGATTCCCAAAGTCACTGTGCTGAGCCCGACTTCCGCAGCCCAGACCCTGCTCAGACTCGCCTGCCGTGGCTGGGCACGGCTGGGGACACGAGGGCCCTCACTCCCGGACGATGGCACTGTCCACCGGGGCATGGGACTGCCACCCCTTCACCAAGGAGCCCAGGTTCCGCTTGACCTCTGCCATGTGGAGCAGAACTGTGCCTGCCCCTCGAGGCCCCTCACGCATGGACCTGCCTCGACCAGGCCTTGTGCTGTCTGTCTCCATCTCTGTGGGCCCCCGGCCAGCATCCAGCACGTGGGGCTGGGGTGGAACCTGAGGCCTCTGGGGGGAGGGTGGGTGTGAACAGCGGGGCGGAGGCCCCAGGCCCTCCTGAGTGACCCCCAGATGTGCTCATCCTGTGGAGACCAGCCAGGCCCGGCCGTGGGACTGCTCATTCTCTTCCAGGAGCTGCTTGGAGGCGAGAGCTCGGGGCCTTCAGCTGCTGAAGAGCAGCGATCCCGCCAGAAACCATCATCTCTCCTCCGAGGCCTGGCCTTGACACGGCCCAGATGGCGGGATGCTGTGGGAAGCCTGGCAGCGAGCGGTGTCCAAATATTACAGCAGCGGCGATGCTCCGGGTGGCTGCCCTTGACCGCTGGCCCTGCTCCTGCAAAGGGCTTTCCAAGGTCCTCTTCCCACCGAGCCTGTGGCCGAAGTGGGTCAGGGGCTCCGGGGCCTGGCGGAGATGTCGGCCAGCCGGGGAGGCAGGCCCTGGCAGGAGGCTGGGGCCGAGTGAAGCAACAAATGAAGGATGTATTCTGTCCCCTTCCCCATCTCACGTTCACAGCTTCTCAGTCAGGGTCAGGAAAGGCAGCAGGGCCAGGGGTGGGGGCTGTGGAAACCTGGGGACCACACTACCCCTTCGCAGGGCACCTGGTGTCCCCACATGGACATGGGGGCCCGTGGTGGCCAGTGGCCTCTCAGGAAAATGAGGCGAGTGGAACCCTCACCTCCCTGGAGGTTGGGAGTCTCATCCAGAGACGCTCAGGGTCCTCAGCGGTCGGCTGAGAAAGCTGGAGCAGCAAGAATGGTGGTGACGATGCCAATAACCTGAGTATTAACTGAGTATCGGCTCCGTCCGATTTCATACGTTATCTGCCCTTTGCAACAACTGAGGAAAGGAAACGGGCGTCAGCCTTAGCTTCCTTCTCAGCAACACGGCTTAGCTTGCATGGGGGGCATAGGCTGCCCAGCTGTGGCAGAGCCAGGGTTCCATTCAGGTGGTCAGACTACGGCCTGACATCCTAACTGTTGCTCGTCTTGCATGGCAGGCAAGGGGGAGTGGCTGTTTTCAAGACTTGGTGGGATGCAGGGTGCTCCACAGGCAGTTGCTGAATGAATGAATGAGTGAATGAAGGAAGGAAGGAATGAGTGAGCAAATGACGAGTGGAGGAAGGAATGAGAATGCTGGTGCAGCCCTAGGCCCCTGCTACCTTCCTGGTTTATCCTACAGCTGCTTTATTGGTTTTAATCGGCCAAGTAGAAGTGAAAACCAACAGCCAGCTCTCAGGGCCCCTGTGCTGAGTGACTACGTACCAAGGGGCGTCTTGCATGAGAGGAGCCTGTGGTGGTTCCGCATTAACTCCGGCAGAGAAATTTGCGGGGATGGAGCCAGGACATTGTGGTGGGTGGGCATCACAGACGGGCCAGACTTTGGCATAACCGTGTGGCGAGTCCTGAGCCGGACGCACGCGCCTCAGCGCCAACAGCTCGCACCTTCCACCTGGGGAACTGGGCCCCGCGTTCAGTTCTGCAGGTGGTGTGAGCACCACTGTGCCAGCGAGGCCCTCCCCGGGTTGACCTGGGGAATGGATGTGAGCAAAGGGCAGCAAAGGGCCCGAAGGGTCCGAGCGTTTGCCGCTGGGAAACTCGAGCTCGCGTCTCAGCAGAATGGCCAGTGGCTCTGAGGATGGCACTGGCATTGTCCCCACGGCTCCGCTTCTGGAGGAAATGTTTTCTGCTCCGGAGGAAGCGCCGCCCCCCAGCACCTCTCTGGAGGCACGGCCCTGACTCCTCGGGGAGCCTGCTGCCCAAGTGGTTTACTTCGTCTTGTTTTTCTGTGAGAAATTAGGATTCAATTAAGTCGGGAGATGATGTGACACGATGAAATCTCCCTGCATTCAGAACATGCACACACAAAATAGAAAACACAGCCAGAGGGGGAGGGGGTGGGAGGCAGGAGGGCACAGGGGGATCCACGCTGATGGAAGGAGACTTGACTTGGGTGGTGAACACACTGTGGTGTGCAGAGGGTTGTCATAGAACTGTACACCTGAAACCTGTACAGGTTTATTAACCAATGTCACCCCAATAAATTCAATTACACACACACACACGCACACACACACACACACACACACACACGCACGCACACACACACGGAGAGCTCTGTGGAAACACCCGAGCGAACATGACATCTCCCCTCAACCGTGAACCGTCCACGTCAAGGTTGCAAACATTAAATTAGCTGACTCGAAATGAATACATGAAATTTTCTCAGCTGCAGCTTTTGAGGGAGTCTTTTGATTTTCTTGTCTTCACTCTCTCTTCTTCTTGTCTCTCCCCTAGAAAAGTCTTAACTAAAGAAGCGGCAGCTGCAAGCAGATGGTGCTGGGGGCAGGCTGTACAACTTTTCGCAGGGACCTGATAGACTGAATTAAACGCATGGGCCAAATTGATTTTTATCAACCATGGATTTTTAATTAACAGTGGTGTCCACTTACTGCCATCCATTATTTACTGTTTACCCACTAATTAAAAATTACGCTGCTTTTGCACTCATAAGAGCAGGGACATTTGAAATTAGATAGCATCGTTCAAATCACCTGCAGAATTAAATCCAGAGCGCCCAAGTGCCCAGACCAGGCTGCTGGGGTTTAAATGCCATCCGCTCTAGCATGGTGCGTTATTGTGAGTCAGGAGCCAGGAACAGGCTTCCCCGCATGGAACCTGCCTGGGGCTGTGAAGGGGATGGACTTGCTAAACCTCTGCTGAGGCCCTAGGCCTAGATTGTCTCAGATCAGCTGCCATGTCTGCATCATGGTGGGGAGTCTCCCAGCTTCCAGGGCAGGTGGCCTGTCAATGCAGGGATGCCTGTTGCCAAGTGCCTGACGTTGCTAGGGACCAACAGCTGTAATTTGCACAACCACCACTGATGGAGATTCTGTCAGTGCCCCCGTTTTGCAGATGAGGAGACTGAGGTTCAGTGGGTTGGAGGGCCTTGGCTGGTGTCCCTCTATCCCAATTCAAAAATAAATCTTGGCCTGGCCGGTGTTGCTCAGTGGTTGAGCATCGACTAATGTACCAAGAGGTCCCCAGTTCAATTCCTGGTCAGGGCACATGCCCGGGATGCGGCCCGATCCCCAGTGAGGGCCATGCATGAGGCAGCTGATTGTTTCTATCTCTCTCCCTCCCCCTTCCTCTCCTCTAAAATCAATAAAAGATAAAACATATTTAAAAATAACTCTTGGCCAAAACCGGTTTGGCTCAGTGGATAGAGCGTCGGCCTGCGGACTGAAAGGTCCCAGGTTCGATTCCGGTCAAGGGCATGTACCTGGGTTGCGGGCACATCCCCAGTAGGAGATGTGCGGGAGGCAGCTGGTCGATGTTTCTCTCTCATCGATGTTTCTAACTCTCTATCTCTCTCCCTTCCTCTCTGTAAAAAAATCAACAAAATATATTTAAAAAAAAATAACTCTTGGTAAAATATGCCTAACATAAAATTTACCCTTTTAACCACTTTAGCATGTACAAGGGAAACCCAGCGACATTTAGGATGTTCACCATCACCCCCGTCTCATCCCATCTCAGAACGTTTCATCACCCCAGAAAGAAGCCCCAAACTCACTAGGAGTCACTCTGTGTCCCTCTCCTCTCAAACCCTGGCAGCCACAGATCTGCTTCTCTGGGGACTTGCCCATTCTGCACTTCGCGAGAAGTGGGAGAGAAAACGCGCCCTTTTCTTATCTGATCTTCAATAACACCCCTGTCAGGAGGGTGTGGTCCTTCTCATTTCACAAAGGCAAGTGGAGGCCTAGAGAGGTTTCTCAAGCCCACAATCCGTGTGGGTTTTTTTCAAAGTAAATGAAAAGTGTAGGTCTGACTTCACCGGAGGAGGGTGGGGAGGTGGCCAGGGGTGTGAAGCCGAGCAGACGGAGAAATAGCAGATCTTCACACACCTTTTTTTTGGGGGGGGGGGGGGGCAAAAAGCAAAAGCAGAGCACTCTTTTTCTCCCTTAATTGGCGAGTCTGAGGTTCCGGGAGGCGTGCCAGGTGATTTCGGTGCGGGAGAGCGCCTTTATTCCCGGTGCCGCATTGATTTTAGAGGGTGTGAAAAGGCAGCCAGCGCCCGTGGCCAGCTGTGCTCTCACCAGGCTCAGAGGACCGGCTGAGCTTTGGAAGGGGGTTGGTCTGAACTTGATTTTGAAATGTTAAGTCACACTTGCAGTGAATATTATTTAGTAAGTAGAGGTGAGTGCTGAATGGCCTGAGGGGGCCTAGAATGCAGAGGGGCAGGTGGGAGGTTCCGGCACCAAGTTACGGCACCTCTCGGCTGCCCGGCCTGGGTTCTCCGTAACAGAGCCCCCAAACTGGGTGACTGAGCACAAAGGTCCGAGGTGTGGCCGGCCAGGCTCCCTCCCCAGGCTGACTGGGAGGCTCCTTGCTGCCTCTGTGGCTTCTGGTGGCCCCAGGTGTCCTTTGGCTTGTGGCCACTCCAGTCTCTGCCCCCATGGCCACATGGCTGTCTTTCCTCTCTGTCTCCACATCGCCTTCTCTTTTCCCTTATGAAGACCGCAGTCCCCACGTCGGCATGACCTCATCCGAGTGCGATGACACTGCAAAACCCCATTTCCCAGCTGGGCTGCACTCAGAGGTGCCAGGTGTAGGATTTGAACGTGTCTTTTGGGGACACACTTCAGTGCAGGGCCATCCAAAGCCCAGGTCCCCCGGCCACCCCTGTGCATTCGTCCCTTCACCCGCACGGTGGTCTGTAAGGCGTCATCTCCGGGGCACACGGTGGCAGCTTGTCCCGATGCGGGAGATGTTCGTTTTGATCACTTGCTCAAGGAGATGTCTGTTAGTTCTCTCCACTGTTCAATTACCACTTTTCTCTTTATAAGTAAGAATTATCTTATGGGGATATATTTAGAAATAATGTAGGTATCTTTTTTTTTTAATTTTACTCCCCACCCCTAATTTTAGTATCTATCGATGTCCATTGGTGATTCTTGCTTCCAAAAATTATTGTTATGGTGTTTTCCAAATGTCCATTCTCCAGTCCTGTCATTCTTCCTGAATTTATTAGTTGAAACTGTGCCATAAGGAAGCACTGTCCCATGTCCCCATTCATCTCTTTAGTCAATTATTTGTACTAGTCTGAACTCACAGATTATTACTTCACTTTACAGGTTACAATCTGTTGCCATCATTATTATTTTTGTGGCTCAAATTGTCCCCAATGTGGACATTGGGAGTTTCTTCAACTCAGCTCCCGTTCCTTGCACATGCGCTTATCATTTTCGTTAGCACTTCCTCAATTACTGGTGCCAGAGGGTCTTCCAGGCTCATTCTGTACTTTCTCTGCCCCAGCCCTGGAACCAGCCATATCTTCAAAAGTCCTGGTTCCTTTCATTGGAGAATGGTGTTTAGAAACCAAGATCTGGGTGCTAGGTGTGCTCACTGCTATTGAGGCGTCACTCTGGGCTCTTCAGCTTTCTCCCTCCCACCCTCCCTTGCTTCATTCCTCCCTTCCTCCTTCTCTCCTTCCTTTCTCTTACTAGTTTGCTGACTCCACGAGAACAGGTCCCCTCTCTCTTGCTCACTGCTGGTTCCCCAGCACCGGGCACACCCCTGATGTGTGCTCAGTAAATATTTGTTGTGTTAGAATGTGGCTGACACTTAGAACAGTACTTTCACATAGTGCGACATGCTGGCTATAATTCTAGTTATAGTTCCTACTTGTAATTGGATGAGTGGATGAATGACTCGTGCTTTACCAGGCCAGTGCACATGACTCCATGTGGACAGTCCGCACTCCCTGGGAGTTCCCCTCCTGAGCATCGGCTGGCGGTGTCCATTGTGAGTGTGGCTTGAAATGGAAGGGGAGAGAGAAGGCTCGCAGCTGTTGGGGTCACTAAGAATCTGGCTGAGGTGGAAGGTGGTCCGCAAGGCAGCTCCTAGCGGGCTGGGGCTCAGGCGGACCCAGGCAGGTTGAGAGGAAGGAGAAGTTGATGGAGGGAGATGAAGGTGTGAGCCTCAGATCCTGCTGAGAGACAGCTTCGAGTATGAGGTGGATCCAGAACTGGTGCTTTGCTTTAAGGCCTCTGTTGACCCTGGTAACCTGCTCCAGCCAAACCGAGACCCTGGTGTGGTTTTACACCCGCAGGGAAGGCTCCTACGTCCACAGCACACAGCTCAGGAGAAACCAGCTCTGTGAGGCACAAACGTAAGCCTCCTGCGTGACGTTACATTTCCTAGTAGCCACATTTTTTTTTTAAAAGCTAAAACTTAGTGGGTGAAATGAATTTTAATGATATTGTTTCCAGCCCCAAATATTATAGTTCAACATGTATAAATATGAAAACTATTAATGAAATACTTTATATGTCTTTTTCATACAAGTCTTTGAAATGTATTTCCACTCGCAGCCCAACTCAATGTAGACCGGCTGCATCTCAGGGTCTGGGGGGCCGCGTGTGGCTGGGGGCCGCTGCGGGAGGTGCCTGCGTCGCGGGGTGCTGTCGGGAGGTCTCCACCCCGGCTTCTGAGGGCCACGGGCAGTGTTTTCAGGAGAGAAGGTGGGATGTAGCGGGTGAGGCTCTGGTCTCTCACCCCCAGTGTTAGCCCAAGCAGCCCCTACCCTTTGCTCTGGTTTGTATATCAGGATCCTAATTAAGATCTACTTTGAAAAAAAAGGAAGTGTTCTATTGGTTAAAAAAACAGCAACATCTGAAACCCTCTGGTTTATTTCAGAATCCTCAGCTTGAGGTAATTCCCCTAGAATGTTTGGACATGGGACCTTGTGCACATTTTAAGTAAAAATCCCCCCGAAAGTGTAGCCCGTGGTGACAGGAAGCGGCTGCGCTCACGCACGGCGACGTGGGCGCGGTGGCCCGTGGCGCCCGCCCGTGAGCCTCCGAGGCCGGCGGAGCTGGCAGCTGTCACCACGCCGCTCCGGCGGAAGATGAGCTCTCCGGGGAAGTCGCTGCACCAGAGGCACGCAGACTGTCCATTCCAGCTCCCCCGAGAGGCCACAGATGGGCACGCGTGACAGTGCCAGCAAATCACAGGCCCCCCAAGACCAGCTCTGCATTCTAAGGAGCCTGAGCTTCCCCTCCGGGGTGACTGCGGCTCTGCACACGCCCACGCGGCCCGCCAGCCACAGCGGCATCTCCTCGTCCATGTCATCGGAGGGTCTTTGTGTTCCAGGCCAAGGGTGGGGAATGGGCTTTGCATCGTGTGCTCTAGAGAAGCTACATTCCACGGCAGCGAGCCGGGCCCCTCCAACGTGCTCTTTTCCCGTGAGCTCGGGAGTCGAAAGTTGCCCCGAGGAATCCGGGGGCCTGGCTGCCTGGAAAAGCAGGGTGCGAGGCAGGGGCAGCAGAGAGCGGGTTGGAAGGCTAGCGAAGAGACATGGTTTCTTTGTCACTGCTGCTCCCTTGCTCCATGACCTGTCCCAGGCCGGGCTGGACCCAGGGGTCACTGGCAAAGGTGGGCCCTGCTTGGTGCCACCTGGAGAAGGCGATTCTTTTATGTTTGCATTTTCCAAATTGGAAACCTTTTCTCAAGGGGAGCAGCTGGCCACGTAGACATCTCCCCACAGCCCATGCTGAGCATTTCCCCTCGAGGGAGGAGGAGGCGTTCAGCTCATGGAATGGGAAAGGAGTGGGGGCTTGGGGAGCGGGTCTGGCCCACCAGGCCTGGCTCAGCAGCCAGGGTTTTTTTGTTTGTTAGTTTAGGAATGTTCCAGCACAAATCTGTTCACTCAAAACTCTCCCCGGGCCCCACGATAGTGCTAATTACGCCTCATTCTGGCTGGGCCTTCCACCCAGATGAAAACGGGAAAATCCAGCCAAAGACCAGCTGTTTTCGAACAGCCGGGGCACCAGGGTGATTGATGGGAGCTTTTCCCTTTCACCCAGATGTTCTGCTGTCTTGGAGACAAGGCCTGGTTAGCTCAGCTTCAGCGCCTGTGTTCCCACATCTGCACGTTGGCCCTTATATTTTCATATTTTTTACCAAATTTGGTCAATGCTCTCCACTGCCATCCCATGCTCTGAGGAGTGGAGCGAGGGGGAGTTGGGCCTGGACGGATGGAGCGCGAGCTTTCCAGTGATTTTGGACATGCCTGGGTCTCTCTCGGGGAGCAGTTACCAGTCAGTATTTGCTAAACAGAACATGTGTCTAGAATTCTCCCATTGGATTGAATCCTAATCACTCTCTTGGCAGAAGACTGAAGCTTTCATTGTTATATAGAACAGGAATTTGGCAAGATAATCGCAAGTTTTGACACATTCAATAAGAAAGAAGACGCCGTGTGACTGGTGATGGCTCCTGGAAGAGGGATCTCGGAGGCACATGGAAGAGCTTAACTCTCTGTGGGGCCGTGGGAGCTGGTTCTCCAGATCTTCCTCGGAAGGGCCAAGAACCTTCCTGTCTCAAGGAGCTATTTAGGTTTCGAGGAGAGAAGGATGGAGACTGGTGGTTGCCCTTGAGTGCCTTTGGGTCTGAGAAGTGCCCAGAGTGTCGGGGCTCACGCGAACAGCGTTGGGGCAGGACACCACTTATGGGGCTGTTCTTGGGAGGCTCCACAAGGGGGACCTCTTGAGCTTTGGTTGGGGTGGTTGGGCACTGGGGCGAAACCCAGCACCACCTCCTCCTGCCTCAGCCTACATACAGCCCAGGGCCACCAGCTCTCTCCATCCACCCTGACTTTGGCCAATTGGGAACCCATGGAAGGCGGGCCTGGGGCCCATGCTCTCCTCCACGTGGGATGGCTCTGTTTCCACCCCCACAGAGAATGTCTTTGGAGACTCAAGGGCGAGGGTAATGAGGTCGCCCAGCCTTGCCTCCTTTCAAGGAAGTTTGCAACACAGAACAAAAACTGCAATTGGAACCACAAGAAAGGGCATCTGGGAGCTTCATAAACAGAAACAAACGCCTTGGCTCCCCGGGCCTTTCCCCAAAGACGCATCGGGGGCCTTGGGGCAGCCTCCACAGGAAACACGGAGATTTTAAATGCAAGGAAATTATTGTAATTTAACAAATCAATTTTTCCTACACTGTGTTGAGATTAAGTTTGTGGTCTCTCTCATACATTCAAAATAAGGAATTTCCCCGGAGTGCAATTTTGTGGGAAAACCGACATCATGTTTCGAAAAAACCCATTTTGTTAGGAGTCACCAGATTTTATTTTAAGAGAAATGGTAATATTTAATTATGGCATTATTTTACAGTCTAGAAAATTAATGTGCTTTCAGAGTTTCCGGAGAAAGGCTGGCCGTGGGTCCGGAACCCTGTTTTTAAATTACCATACAAATAGAATCCCAAAGACGCAAATATTGGCTTAAGTGTTGCAGACAAGGTGCAGGAAAACGCGCCGGCTTCCTAAATGTTAAATAAACAGGCTTGTAATTCTTGCCTCTCCGGCGACCCTGGACCCGCGCTCCGGTCCAGGGAGAGCGCACACAGCGCAGTGCAGGCTGGGTGACCCCTGAGGATTAGCACCAGTCTCCTCTCACCATCCCAATAATCGGCCAGGAACGCTGTGAGGCTCCGGGGTCTGCAAGCCCATGCTGACTTCCAACAAGCCTGGGGGGTAGGTGTTGGGATTGTCCCCATCTTACAGACCAGGAAGCAGAGTCTGAGCATGCCCAGGTCTCGTCCCTGGAGTGGGCAGGTGGAGAGGCCCAAACTCCAGGGCAGGTCTGTGACCTGGAAACTCCAGGCTCCTGCACACATAGCCTGGCCTGTGCCGGGACGTGGGCTGAGCACCTACTGTGTGCCTGCCCATGGGTGGCAGAGATGCTGCCACGAGGGCTCCTGTCTGAATCTGAGCTGGCACAGTGGAGCCCGGGGTGTGCTGCCGCTGCTGGTCCATTTGCTGGAGGGACAGGCAAGGAGGGGCCTCGCTGCCTCTTGAGTCTCACAGGCGATGAGCTGCTTGACAGGTGGAAGAGAGCCGAGATGGGTCCTCGCCCGCGGAGGCTGCGAAGCTGGCAGGGAGGTGTGAAGAGCAGCCAGCCGGGAGGCATAATGAGTCCTGTGCTGGGGGCACGGAGGGTTGTCACGGGGAGGGTTGGAGAGGCAGGGAGCCGCAGGAGGCCTGCGAGCCACTTCGGGGTCTGGAGTGTTCTTCAAACAGAGGAAGCCATGTGGGTGGGGTGGGGGTGACAGCCAGTGGCACTCTGAAAGGCAATGCTTTCCAAAGGGCACCGTGCCTACCTGGTGGTGCTGCCATGGCCCCAGGGACACACGCTGGCAGCTACATGGGAGGTTGGGTACACGTCTGTTCTGACTCAGTTCGATAACGGACACATTAAGCCTGAATCTTGTTAGCACGAGGCTGATGCATACAGGGACAAGTTATTTTTAAAATAAGTGAAAATGAGTTCGTTGGTTTGGAGAGAAACAGTGACCCAAGGACAGTGGCGATCAGATGTGACAGGTGGTTGGGGAACAAAGCTCTAAGGTCCTGCTGGCTTGTGTTCAGGATGATCCAGTGAAGGGGGGAGCTCAAGGCCACCTATGGGAGATGACCTCCGACCTCCACCCACAGGCGAGGCTGGGCCAGGAGATGTGGAGTGAAGGCAGGGAGGAGAGGGTGAAGGCAGACGGGCGCTGGGGGCATGGCGGTGCCCCTCCAGAGATGGAGAACTGAGAGTTCATTGTTGGGGGTGAGCTATTGGAGGACCGAACAGGAGGAGCCAGTGGGGGGACTGGCCTGGAGCCACACATCTGTCCACAGGCATACCCGAGGCGAGGACAGAGGGTGGAAGTCAGCCAGAGCCAGGATCCCAAGGAAAACGCCTCCAGGGAAAGGCAGGCCGAGGCTGGGAGGCCCCTCAGAGGGGAGCCGGGTGCTGGGAGCAGGGCTGCAGATAAGACTCAGGGTGCCATTTACATTTGATTTCCAGATACACAACCATTTTTTAGTGTCAGTGTGTGCAAATATTGTGTGGATAAGTGTAGGTGTTTGGAGAAGGGAGACAAAGCCAGAGGGATCGAGAGATTGTGCTTTATGGCTTAATTATTATTTTTATGTAAGTTCTTTCATGCTATACACAGGGCAGAAAAAAAAAGAATCTGAAAATACAGAAAAGGATGAAGGTGACATAAAAGCTCGCCCACGGTTGCCTCCCCCAAGTGAATTGCCATTAACCTGCTGGTACACGTGACCCTTCAGATTCTGGAGTCTGGGATGCCCTGAGGGACTCCGGTCCCCTTTGAACATCCATCGACAACACCACCTGGCCCATGGCAGACGCAGATTACATTTTTGTTGAATGAATGAATAAATCATCTGGCCTTTTTCCCTCTTTGCACACACATACATGCATGTATCCAGTTATTTTTTTACACATATGGGATCATCCTCTGCATGCCATTTGAAGCCTGTGTTTTGAACTTAATCATAGGTGTTGGAAATCTTTGAGGAAGGTTGGCTTTCGGGGACCACAGGAACTAAAGTGTATTCACAGCCTTTGAGGGAGGGGCCAGAGGACACCAGGCAGTGGCTTGAACAAGGGATGAAATAGCCAGGGAGGCAGATGCCTCGTCAAGAAAAGTCCAATGAAAACAGGCTGAACCTTTCACACAAAAGCAATCCATGTCTTGCAGTGGAATTCTCCAAATGTATTAAAAAGGTGTAAAATGAAAAGTGCAAGTAGCTTTCTACCCCAGAGCCCTGGTTGCTCCCTCGAAAGTGAATTATTTTAACAGTTTCTTGTGCATCCTCCCAGAAAATAGTTTCATGCCGAACTCTGCATATAAATGTATATGTTTTTTATTTGGCTATTAAAATTTTTTATGAATGCAATCTTTTTATACACATCGTCCTGCATTTTGCTTTTTATGCTTAAATTATCGGAGCGATCTCTGCATCTTAGATTTAGCTCTTCGTAGAAAAGACAAAATAGTATTCCATGATCTAGGTGGATCTTAATTAGTTAGCCACTCCTCTGTAGATGGTCCTTTAGATTGTGATCAACTAAAACAATTTTTTTTTTGTTATTACATGCAACAATATGTTGGGCTTCCTTTAAATGTATCTTGGTGAAAATTTTGTGTGTCCTTTGGAGATAGTCCTAAGAAAGAAATTGTGTTTGCATTTAATAGATTGACGAACTGAAGCAAACTGCCTTCCAAAAATGCTGCTTCAGGGGACCGGCACCCGGCAGCATA